AAAGAAAAGAAAATTTGTTTTTACCTGGCGATAACATTATACAATAGTTGGCATCGTATGAATAGGGTGGTTTTTCAAAGGAGAATGACATTGTTTCTTGAGGAGTTATGCTGAGACCTCCACCAATAAAACAATTCATAGAATTCCGGACTCCGTAGAAGTTCTGACAACAATACTGCTGGAACAGAACTGTGAAGTGGGTTGTAGTTGATTTAATGGTGCAAAGTTGACTTTTGTACTGTGTGTGGAGTAACAGTACATTTACAAACTGATACGGAGGAGTGATGTGCATCGAAGGCGTTCAGTACAACTCTATTTCCAGTTCCTGATGTACTGTAACAAAGGGATGCTCCTGTATATCAAAATTAAAAAAATACTTAGTGATATAAAAAAGCTACATTGGAACATTAATATATACAAAGTTAACATATCTGTATTAGATTTATTTATAAACCCTGTAAGACAAACAATTCTATTATGGTTTAGATTAATTACCAGGTAAAGAATACTGTGTCATGGCCATCTGGCATGCTGTCTCACCTTTAACAGGGCCTGCAAATTTAATAAATAATTATTGAATACATGACTTCCTTCAAAGATGATTAATCTCTAAAATATTGTACCAAACATGACTGCATTGGTAAGGGTAAGCATATACATGTAGCAGTTTCCTCAAATCAATGCCATTCGGCCCATTTACTCAAATCAAAGACATTGATTGACTGCGTTTGTAGTGATGTTAGATTAATGGTGTTATATTTGTTTATTAATAATATACAAATGGGGTACGCAAGTTTTCGAGTATTTTTTTTTTAAAGTTATGATTATTAGTAGCTTTATTCATGGTCACTTTTATTACATGTGCTATTCCAGATGACATCATGTGTTGATGCATTCCTCCTTCCTTTCATTCTTCGTTAGAGATCAGCTGATGTATACAATACTGCTTGCTTTCAGGTCTATTATGAATGCTGTAGTCAATGACTGATATCTGATATTGTAATTATTAATTAAAGCACAGATTCACACGTCCTACTCTATGATTTAAGATTGCTCCATCATAGTAAAAATGGCAAATGGAGGAAGATGTCATGTTTAACCTATTTCTATAAAGACCCTTTCCCCGTCTGAAATTTATTATACTCGGGCTATTTGTTAAGTCTGGTACTTTCCGATTTATCTGATACAGGAGGCGTCAAGTCATTGATGGCTTTATTTCCAATCACCCAGCCGTAGTCAGAAATTCTTGTTAATGTGCTGAAAACACCCTAGGCCACATGTAAAGGTCATATACATGTATAAAAAAGTTAACATTTTTGTCAAGTTGAAAATAAATATGCTTTATTCAATGAAGTGACTTTGAAATTCATTAGCGTCTTCATTTTTTTTAAATTAAGCTTATTTTATGTTATTGTTCTGTACTATCAACTTCTTTATGATTCATCTATAAAATCTATAAACTATTTAAAATTTTGTCATTTTGGATTTTGAAATACTTGGCACTCTAAAAGATTGGTTGTTAAAACAAATCCATCTAAGAACAAATTGTCAGCATATTTGAATACAAAACAGCTTTATCATCACATCTTTGAAAATCATTCAAGTTGGTAATGCAGGTACATGATTACAGTTGAGGAGACCCGGTAGTTTAATTCATACATGTATCTCAAATTCAGAAGAAAAATATTAAAAATAATTAACACAAAATCACAATCTTACCTAGGAAAGTAAACAGGATCCAAAACATACAAAAAATCATGTCTGTCGTCCGCCGATTAAAGAATGGGACATACCCGCCATTCGTCATACTGACCGCGCTGACAAAGTGGTTCTTGGGATGAAAGACTTTTCCGTCAACAAGTTAACTTAAGGTCCGACACTTTAAATTTAATCTCAGGCGATTGAAAAAATTAATAAAGACTCTTTAAGTTTCGGTTTATCCTTGGACAATTGTTTGGTTCTAAACGCACACCCATTTCTGCAGAATTAAATGCCCCGTAAACGGCACTTGCAGTAATTGAGTTCTGACAAAGAATTTCTTTTTATAGAAAATTACTCGAAAACCAGTTTGTAATCCAAAGTAAATTTAACCAATGGAATAGGATGTAAACATTGCATGGTGAAATGATTTCATCAAATAAAAGTAAAATGCTTTAATGTGTGAAGATACTAGGTATATCGCGTTTAAGGTAGATCTTCAAATATCTTTATTGTTGATCAGAATCTACATGCATTACTTAGGGTTAATTAAAGGGTTTAATTAATAACCCGTCCGTCTTCACACAAGACTTCCGGGATTTGGGAATTAAAAGAAGGGAGTCTTGTGATTATATTTCGTGATGTACAGTGTATAAACCTGTACTTTGTATAAGTTTCTCTTATTGACTTTAACCCAGCCAGCCAATAAGGAAGTATAAATTTTAATTCAAGAATTCTATTGAACCAAAATCAAAAGGTGTGACATATTAGAGTATACCCTTAAACACAAAGAAACTAAATGTATATTTAATGCACATAGTGTATTGAATAATTAAATACGTATAGGTTAATCAGAAGGAATACATACATAAAGCACATGTACATGCATGTAGGTGTGTGAGGCTGTGTTGCTAGAAAAAAAAAATATGTACAAACCGGTACGTACAGTACAATGAGTACTTGTACCTTCAAAATGTTAATATTATTTTAGTTTCACTTATTTCGACGCAAAAAAAAATCAAAATGATGTTACAAGATCAAAAAATAGTTCAAGACATGTATCTTACGTGTATTTGTATTGTATTAAAATGTTTTTGCACTTCTACTTTACTGGTCCGCGTATTTTGTCTGAATTATCATTAACCAATATACATGTATAACCAATGTACCAAATAGAAGTTTTCATTTTTATTTATTTGATAAATCATCAATGCAACTTAAGATTAAACCTTATAATTAAATAATGATTATCTTCGGTTAAAAGTTTGCACTGATCCTGATGCACTATGGCCACACATGCTGTGAAAACAAGTGGCAAAAGAAAAGAAATCCTCATTTTAATGATATTTATCAATATTTTTATGCTTCAGAGGACATGGCATGCAATATCTGCAAATTACTTATTACGTTTGATTACTTATTTAATATTTAAGTGAAAAGGAAATTCAAATTCCTTTATCCCTGACAAACCAGGGACATAATCGGGAGTGACATCTTCCATATGCACACTGGCTAAAGATGGGCACTAGTTTTTTTTTTGTTTTTTGTTTTTTTTTGAGGGGTGGGGACATTCTTCCCCAGATAAATATGTCTGAGAAATGTGTACAAATATCTTTTTAAAAAATTGAATCGTTTTATTTACATGTGTAAGATAAATAAAACACCAAGGAACTAATTAGATGATAGTCCGAATAATTCTGATGTTTTCCAGGATTTGTTAATACGATTTTGATATTTAACGTGCCAGGAAAACTGTTTTCCTAGCAAAAAATCGTAAAAGTTTCTGGAAAACATTGGATATTTTCAGACTAGCTGATGAAAGATCTTGTTTGCAATCCATAAAATAATTTTGTTCAAAACATTTCAACAATTAATATAAAGAAACCTAATCTTCTTCTTATCTTGTTTAAATACATTAATTTTCCCTTTTCTTTTTATTTTTCAGAAAAGTCCTTAAAACACATACCTCAGAAAAACATCGATATCTCTAGTGTTGAAACTGCAGCTAATTAGTTCGAAGAGGAATAACTCTAAAATTTTACCTTTGCTTCTGCCTGCATGGCAGAGTAACTCTCTTTGTTTTGGATCAAACTAACACCGTAACATACATTCATGTGTCTGTTCAGAAATTCTATGGAAAACGTTGCCTTTTTGTTTGCTCTTTCATATAATACAAACATTAAAAAAAATATTAATTTACCTTAGTAGCCTATTAACACAAAATACTAAAAAGTAAAATTCATTGACCTTACTTTCACTCGACTTCAGATACACGGTACATACTACATAGTATGTACATGTATAACCGCTATATACATGTATTTAAGTATCAATATTTGCATATCCACTGCTCTCTCCCACTATGAACATGTAGCCATCAACTGCGTTCATAGCACTATAGACGCAAATGGCTTATTACACTCGTGTAAAACAACCTCTCCTTTACGTAATAAAAAAGTGTTGAGAAGTATATATATGAAATGTTTTGTAAAAGAAATAAATATGTTTTTAATAATATTTTTTGGAAAAAAAAGAAATTCAGAACAATTTAAAATTGCTTATTGATATCTTTAAAAATTTAATTTTGGTGAATGTATTTAATTGTAATATAAAACTTTTTAAAAATTGAAGACAACTCCATATTTTTATTTTTTCTTATCATATTTTTGCATATTTGTACAAAGAACGATAACTCTTCACACGTGGGTTATGAAACATTCAGAAAGAGCAGCCTATATGTCTATTTCAAGAACGATTTCAGCTTTTAAAATTGAATAGAAAAAACTTTAAAAATCATAGAAAAGCATTCTGGAGTTATAATCATTATTAAAGCAATCTCTTTATTCCATCATAAGGTTAAATTATTGATTTTTGTCAGAGGGTTTCAATAACGTTGATCGATGACGTCACAACTGAATCAAAACAAAAATTAGGAGATGGGTGCAGCTTGTATCCAGATAACTGTGTTTAAGAGGCAAATACTCTATAAATTGTTTGTGATTATTAGAGAAAAGGTGCAATGATCAGATATGCTAATTTTATAGCCGCGTGTTTTTCTTTACTGAAGACAACAAGCCACATCCATATGTAAGCCAGGATTTCCTCTGATATTCTTGACAACATCAAAGAATGCAAATATAAGTAATAAACAACGATTATTTAGTGAACATGGCATTATGAATAGCAATAGCTCTGCTGGCATATTTTCCATGATGCGCTAGCGCGCATCATGAAATATGCCAGCAGAGCAATTGCTATTCATAACGCCATGTTCACTAAATAACGTTGTGTATTTCTTAAATATTACAATATTTGAAAGTTATATCGTCCAACATTTATTATTAATAGGGTCAAGTGCAGCCAGTTGACAAAGTTGATACACTGCATTACTACATTGTATATTTTACAGAAAATAAATTATACATATAACACTAATAATATTTATTTAGTGGTCCGCGTTGCGCAGTGGCAAGAGCGTATGCTCGAGAGTTGCAAAGAAAGGAGTTGATCCTTAGGTCTCGGGTTGAAATACATGTACCACTGTGAGACGTGGAGACAGGTCCTATGTATGAGACCGCATATTATAATGACAGATTTCAGTTAAGGACATACGCAAGGTACCTAACCTACCGATAATTTTTCAAGATATTCTTAATTTAACATTATAGTGCTATCAGATGTTCACAGACAAAAAATCAGCATGCATTACCAGGGGTTTTTGGAAGATATCATATGAACATTTTTGCATCATTCAAAGAAAAATATACAAAAATTACAACACATCAATTCCAGTTTTTTTTCCCCATCAAAATTTGTTTTAGAAGAGGTGTACAAATCCATACATAGACATTAAAAGTATTGCACACAGGACCTTCATTTAGTGGAACTCTTCAACTCCAGGGAAGAACCCAATAATGTTTAAACTAAGTTGCATATGACCATAACTGGAAGTAATACATGCGATTTGATTGCATGACGGTTTGTCAAGGATACTGAATAATACCTAACTACACGTTTTCATGCTGTTTATTTTAAACTAGTCAACATCCAGAAAGATGGCCAATGAACGAAAATGATAGGAACAAGTTGCTTTAAAAAAAGGACTGCAATACGTGAACCAATATGCACGTGTTTCTAACCGAAATTCAATCAGAGCAGAACATTTCTAGGTTAGTGAATATTCATGTAGGATCGTTCATATTTCTACAATGATTTGCCTACTTTGACTGATAGTACTTTCAAAGCAAAATTTTTAAATTTTATCTCCGATTAGCATAGAGTTTTGTCATTTTTAGAAATCGGATGTAACCCATAACGGCTGCATGCATGGAACCTGACATCTGTTCTGGATTTATACGGAATAAAATAGATCTGATGGTACACGTGTGGCACAGCTCTGTAGTACGCATATTTTTGTTTTCGGAGATGCCCCTCTCCCCAACATGGAAAACGTCACTATAGGCTTCTATCAATCTGTATTTGGATTGCTGTATATCAAATTCTTTTGCATGCCTTGGTACACAAAACTAATACCACTGAAGACTTGTGTGTTTAAAAGATGAAACAAGTCGTTAAATGACTTTTTCAATTCAAGTTGTTGAGTTCTCTATGTACTGCAAGTTCTTCCTACCTTTTGAAATGCTCGTGCCATGGAATCAATGCTTAGTTTGTGTATAAAAGTATATGTATACAGGTGTCTCATTATATCGCGGTACTTAAATCTTTTGCATAAAAAAGTGTAATTTGATTTTTTAAATTTAACTTTCATCAAATGATATTAATAAAGCAAACTATGGCCTAACTTTTTAGTATCAAATTATTTCCCAAGCTTGCATCGTCTAAGTTGTAGTCTATTTTTGAAACAGGAAGTCTCATTTACCTCCTAAATTGGAGATTCTCATAGTATCGCGGTATGGGAAAACATGGAAACTTGAGGTTGACATGGACTTCAATTCTCATTTTTTATTTTACCATGTAATTTTACATAAGAAAATAAACAATTATACAAACTAAAGTCTTTCAAAACATGAACTTTATATGGATTTTACTATATTATAAACTCATCGGGCTAAAAATAATAAAAACGGAGATCGATTTCTGTAAAATTACGTTTTATTTGAATAATTTTTTTCCCGACGCATTTTCCATACCTTTTTAATCATCACAAAAATTTACATTTAGATGACAGACTGATATTGTTTTCAAGAAAAAGCATATGAGCTACGTATCTGATTTTTTGGAATATACCGCGATACAATGAAACCCGCGATATAATGAGAATCGAGTATATAAGAGAGAAATTTTGAGCCACCAATGAAT